TGGAAGTTTTCTAATCCATAGGTATGCTGTCTTAAAGTTATTGGAACACTTGTTTTTTTTTATTTACTTTAAGTTCTAGGAGTTACATGTACAGAATCTGGCAGTTGTACATAGTATACCATGTGCCATGGGGATTGCTGCACTTAGAACCTGTCAATCAGGTTTAAAGCCTCACCAGGCTTTACATACTTGTTCTAAAGCCTCCCTCCCCTGTCCCACCCCCCCGACAGGCCCCACCCGGGTGTGATGTTCCCTCCCGTGCCATGTTTCTCACTGCAGTCCGCACTAGAGTAGGAACTATGTGGTGGTTCTGTCCTGTGATAGTTTGGCTGAGAATGATGGCTTCCAGCTTCCATCCAGTTTAGCATTGGGAGGGTGTATGTGTCCAGGAATTTATCCATGTCTTCTAGATTTTCTAGTTTACTGGCTTAGAGGTGTTTATAGTATTCTCTGATGGTAGTCTGTATTTCTTTGGGGTCAGTGGTGATATCCCCTTTATCAATTTTTATTGTGTCTATTTGATTTTCTCTCTTTTCTTATTAGTCTAGCTAGTGGTTCATCTATTTTGTTAATCTAAAAAAACCAACTCCTGGATTCATTGATTTTTTGAAGAGTTTTTCGTGTCTCTCTCCTTCAGTTCTGCTCTGATCTGAGTTATTTCTTGTCTTCTGCTAGCTTTTGAATTTGTTTGCTCTTGCTTCTCTAGTTCTTTTAATTGTGATGTTAGGGTGTCAATTCTAGATCTTTCCAGCTTTCTGATGTGGGCATTTAGGGCTATAATTTTCTCTCTTAACACTGCTTTAGCTATGTCCCAGAGATTCTGGTATGTTGTCTCTTCGTTCTCATTGGTTTCAAATAACTTCTTTATTTTTGCCTTCATTTTGTTATTTACCCAGTATTCATTCAGCAGCCGTTGTTCAATTTCCATGTAGTTGTGCAGTTTTGAATGTATTTCTTAATCCTGAGTTCTAATTTGATTGCACTGTGGTCTGAGAGACCGTTATGATTTCTGTTCTTTTGCATTTGCTGAGGAGTCTTTTACTTCCAATTATGTGGTTGATTTTAGAATAAATGCTATGTGGTGCTGAGAAGAATGTATATTCTGTTGATTTGGGGTGGAGAGTTCTGTAGATGTCTATTAGGTCCACTTGGTCCAGAGTTGAGTTCAAGTCCTGAATATCCTTGTCACTTTTCTGTCTTGTTGATCTGTCTAACATATTGGCAGTGGGATGTTAAAGTCTCCCACTATTATTGTGCGAAAGTCTAAGTTTCTTAGTAGGTCTCTGAAAACTTGTTTTATGAATCTGGATGCATATATATTTAGGATAGTTAGCTCTTGTTGCATTGATCCCTTTACCATTATGTAATGCCCTTCTTTGTCTTTTTTGAACTTTGTTGGTTTAAAGTCTGTTTTATCAGAGACTAGGTTCCATTTGCTTGGTAAATATTCTCCATCCCTTTATTTTGAGCTTATGTGTGTCTTTGTATGTGAGACGGGTCTCCTAAATACAGCCCACCAATGGGTCTTGACGCTTTATCCAATTTGACAGTCTGTGTCTTTTAATTGGGGCATTTAGCCCATTTACATTTAAGGTTAATATTGTTATGTGTGAATTTGATCCTGTCATCATGACACTAGTTGGTTATTTTGCACATTCGTTGATGCAGTTTCTTCATAGTGTCATTGGTCTTTATATTTTGGTATGTTTTTGCAGTGGCTGGCACCGGTTTTTTCTTTCCATATTTAGTGCTTCATTCACGAACTCTTGTAAGGCAGGCCTGGTGGTGACAAAATCCCTCAGCATTTGCTTGTCTGGAAAGGGTTTTAGTTCTCCCTTCACTTATAAAGCTTAGTTTGGCTGGATATGAAATTCTGGGTTGAAATTTCTTTTCTTTAAGAATGTTGAATATTGCCTCCCGCCCACTTTCTTCTGGCTTGTAGGGTTTCTGCAGAGAGAACCACTGTTAGTCTGATGGGCTTCCCTTTGTAGGTAACCTGACCTTTCTCTCTGGCTGCCCTTAATATTTTTTCCTTCATTTTAACCTTGGAGAATCTGACGATTATGTGTCTTGGGGTTGCTCTTCTTGAGGAGTGTCTTAGTGGTATTCTTTGTATATCCTGAATTTGAATGCTGGCCTGTCTTGCTAAGTTGGGGAAGTTCTCCTGGATAATATCCTGAAGTGTGTTTTCCAATTTGGTTCCATTCTCCCTGTCACTTTTAGGAACTCCAATCAAGCGTAGGTTTGGTCTTTTCACATAGTCCCATATTTTCTTGGAGGCTTTGTTTGTTCATTTTAGTTCCTTTTTCTCTAATCTTGTCTTCATGCCTTATTTCAGTAAGTTGATCTTTAATCTCTGATATCCTTTCTTCTGCTTGATTGATTTGGCTATTGATACTTGTGTATGCTTCACAAAGTTCTCGTGCAGTGTTTTTCAGCTCCATCAGTCAATAATGTTTATCTCTAAAGTAGTTATTATAGTTAGCAGTTCCTTTTACCAAGGTTCTTAGCTTCCTTGCATTGGGTTAGAACATGCTCCTTTAGCTCTGAGGAGTTTGTTATTACCCACCTTCTGAAGCCTGCTTCTGTCAATTCGTCAGTCTCATTCTCTGTCCAGTTTTGTGCCTTTGCTGGAGAGGAGTTGCAATCATTGGAAGGATAAGAGGCATTCTGGTTTTTGGAATTTTCAGCATTTTTCTGCTGGTTTTTCCTCATCTTCATAGATTTATTTACCTTTGATCTTTGAGACTGATGACCTTTTGATGGGGTTTTTGTGTGGGGGTCCTTTATGTTGATGTTGATGTTGATCTTGTAGCTTTCTGTTTGTTAGTTTCTCTTATAGTCAGGCCCCTCTGCTGCAGGTCTGCTGGAGTTTGCTAGAGGTCCACTCCAGACCCTGTTTGCCTGGGTATCACCAGTGGAAGCTGCAGAACAGCAAAGACAGCTGCCTGCTTCTTCCTCTGGAGGCTTTGTCCCAGAGGGGAACCAACCTGATACCAGCTGTAGCTCTTCTGTATGAGTTGTCTGTCAACCTCTGTTGGGAGGTCTCTCCAAGTCAGTAGGCACGGGGGTCAGGGACCCACTTGAGGAGGCAGTCTGTCCCCTAGCAGAGCTGGTGTGCTGTACTGGGAAAATCCCTCTCATCAGGTTCAGCTGCTCTCCTCAGAGCCAGCAGGCAGGAACGATTAAATCTGCTGAAGCTGCACCCACAGTCGCCCGTTCCCTCAGGTGCTGTGTCCCAGGGAGATGGGGGTTTTGTCTGTAACTCCTGGCTGGGGCTGTTACCTTTCCTCCTGAGATGCCCTACCTAGTGAGGAGGAATCTAGAGAAGCAGTCTGGCCACAGCTGCTTTGCTGCACCCAGCCCAGACCTCCCAGCCTCCTTAGCACTGTCAGGGGAAAACCACCACTAAATCCTCAGTAATGGCAGATGCCCCTTCCCCCAGCAAGCTCAATCGTCCCAGGTCGACTTCAGACTGCTGGGCTGGAGTGAGAATTTCAAGCCAGTGGTTCTTAGCTTGCTGGGCTCCGTGGACCCACTGAGCGAGACCGGGGCTCCCTGGCTTCAGACCCCTTTTTAGAGCAGTGAGCAGTTCTGTCTTGCTGGGATTCCAGGTGCCACTGGGATAGGAAAAAAAAAAAAACAAACTCCTGCAGCTAGCTTAGTGTCTGCCCAAACAGCCACTTGGGTTTTCCGCTTGAAACTCAAGGCCCTGGTGGTGTGGGCATATGAAGGAATCTCCTGATATGCAGATTATAAAAACCATGGGAAAAGCATAGTAACTTGGCCGGGTAGCACAGTCCCTCATGGCTTCCCTTGGCTAGGGGAGGGAGATCCCCCATTTCCTTGCACTTCCTGGGTGAAGTGACACCCCACCCTGCTTCTGCTCGCCCTCTGTGGGTTGGACCCACTGCCTAACCAGTCCCAGTGAGATGAACTGGGTACCTCAGTTGGAAATGCAGAAATCACCCGCCTTCTGCATTGGTCTTTCTGGGAGCTGCAGACTAGAACTGTTCCTATTGGGCCATCTCGGCCCCCTTCAGAAACCTGTATTTAAGAATACTTGTCAGTCTTTTCCGTTAATTTCCATATAGAAGCAAATTTTGGTCTATAGCTGATTATGAACCTCTTTTTGAGAAGAATCAAAAAGTAAAACAATAATTGTCTGTGGACGGCAAAAGTCTTAGATCAGCCATGGTTAAAGAAAATTTGATTATTTCTGTAACACATAAAAATTTGACATAATAATTATAATTATTACTGATAACATGCATTAAGACATCAGAATTATATGTATCTCATACAATTTTGTAAGACATATTAATAACACCCATAAAATATAATCCAAGGAAAAGTAAACACTGTTTCATAGTTGACAAGGCTTTCTCTAGGATTTTAACATACCAAAGAAACCCAATGTGTCTCTCTTGGACTTTCAGGGACATTAATATCTAAAAGGTTAGTTTAAGGTCAAAAAGACTAAATTTAGAATTTGAAGCTTTGATTTTGGAAAGTTTGTCGAATATCAAAGGTTTAAAACACTTGATATCATAAAATAGGATCACAGTGTAAACTAAGTCATTCACTTAGCCAAAGTGATAATTCACAAATTTACACTTCCCATTGCCCACCCCTCATGCCTTCCACCCTGAGATTTAACAATAGTGATGGTGGCAGGAGGCAGACAGGTTCCTAGGTGGGAATGGGTGGGTCCCTGGTGAGGCCCAACCTTCAAACCAGGGATGGCCTGAAGCCTGGAGGCCAGGCTGCCAGTTCCAGGTGGAGTCCATGACCAGGAGTAAGAACTTCCTTGATGCCTTTCAGCCAGTTGATGGTGACTGGTTTTTTGGACCCACCCATGGAGCAATCAGCATGCACTTCCTCCCACTCATGGACCAATCAGCATGCACTTCCTCCATTCTGTGCCTATAAAAACCCCTAGACTCAGCTGGACTCAGACACACATTGGGACTACCTTCCTGCAGGTAGGAGCAACCTACTTTGGGTCTCCTCTCTGTTGAGAGCTGTTCTGTTGCTCAATAAAGCTCTTCTCCATCCTCAATAAAGCTCTTCTCACATCCTCCAGTTACCTGAGTAACCTCATTCTTCCTGGACGTGGGACAAGAACTCAGGACCTGCAAACAGGGGGCACAAAAAGAGCTGTAACACTTTCCTGGCCGGCTCACTGAGCTGCAGATTGTGATATGCTTCCCTGTTCACCAAACTGGGAGTGAAGAGTGGAGACCCTTCTGGGGACCCAGACCTCAGGATTCCCAAGCCAGAGCTGTAACCCTATATCCCTCTCGCCCTCCACCAGGGTTGGGTGACTGCCCCATGTGACAGGAAGCAGTGGTGGGGCAGGCCAGCCCAGGAGCTGTGGGCTGGAGTGGGGGTGATGGGACTAAACAAGCTGTAACACAAACGGGCTGAAACACATCGCCTCCCCCTGCCAGTTGCCATGCTGCCATGCTGCAGACAGTGGGAATGAGACAGCTGTAACATGCACCCCAAACCCATAGAGGATCTGCAGTTGCTGGCATCTCCAGGTTTTCAGGAACCACCACATTCCCTTCATCCAGATGCTGGCAACTGCAGAAGCCACTTGCAGTATGCCTGGTCCAGCCGCAGCCTTGCATGGAGCCAGCACCTGTGCCGGTGCCTGGAGCTGCCTGCCCCGCTGTGGCAGCTGGCATTCCTGGCTGTGCGAAGTGACCACACCCCGCACTTGCTCACTCACACACCCTTCACCTTTCTGCATCTGGCTTGCCCCCAGCAGACATGGGATCTGGGCTGGTAGTGCAAGCTGAGCACAGCCTTCCAGGCTGAATGGGTGGAATGAACCCAGTGGGTGTGAGCAATATTCAAGTAGAGGCACTGCCGGCCACGAGGTTTTCAGCTGGTGATGCAACACCCAAAGGATCCCGTGACAATAGGATTTCTGAAATCTGCATTGGCTCGTGTACAACTTGAGCACTGTATGAGTCAATTGGGAGAAACAGTTTTTAAACAGGAGCTGCAGGGAATTAGAAAAATCTCAGACTGACTGACAGAAAAGTCTTCAAAGGGAGACAAAAACCAGCTTTTCCTACTGATGCAGTGGGACCTACTGTGGATGACTGCTACAGAGTTACTCTAGAATAATTCAGAGGAAGATGTGAGGAGTTCACTCTGGAGCCACAGTGGCCAGTAGAGGGTGGAAAGAAGAGAGAATGGAACTTACTGTCATTGCAATGGCAATGACAATAAGATCTGAGCAAGAAGGACAGTAGGCAGAAGCTGGGAACAAAGACAGGAGGGCTGGGGATGTGCTTAAAGGAGAGTACTTGGTTTATTTTTCCTGGGTTGGAGGGCTTAGGTATGTTTTTCTCTTATAAGGTCCACAGTTAGATTTTCTTAAGGCACAGGGGAGCCATTGAGGATTAGGGAGCTGGAGAGTGGTGTGATGAAAGGTATGTTTGCGTAGCTTCTATAAGTAAATGTTTCTTTCCACTGGTTTCTGGATCAAGGCACCAGCTCTCCTGATACTGTGTTCCTGCAAGAGTCCCCTATGCCTATGTAGGCATGAGCCACTGTGACAGGAGATGCCCTTCCTGCCCACACTGCCTGCCTGCATTTTGAGACTTTCTGCTTCCCCAGGGTGAGTGAGGAAGCTGGCAACAAGCCTCATTCAACAAGAGGAAACCTGAGGCCAGCTGGGCACTTGAGGGAAGGAGACCAGCAGTGGAACACAAGTCGGGGTCCCAGGATCCCTGGGCTTTACCTGACACTTCCACTTTCCAACTGTGGGGTCCATAAGCAAGCCTGTTGCACCTTCTTAGCCTCAAGAGTCACTGACAGCCATGCAACCCTCTCCCTGTCACCAAAGCAATTTGGCCTTCCAGCTGGCCTCCAGATGCGAAGGCAGAGTCTGCTGGAGACTTGGTGTCCTGAGAACTCCAGAATGGGCTGTTAGTGCTCTAATTTTTCAGGCAGGTCTATTCCCATAATTTAAAAACAATGCTAACAATAATACCATCTGTGAAGCACCTTTACCATGCAAGGCACTCCACTAAGCCCTTTAGGTACGCTATTTCAATCCTTTTGATACACCTATGGTACAGGAACCATGATCCCAGTTTCGTGGCTGAGGAAGCTGAGAGTAATCAAAGTTAATGGACTTGTCCAAGAGAGTTCCTCAAACTCTAGAATTCAAACCCTCAATTCCTGTGACAGTCATTCTAAAGCATCACCCACTGCATTTGCATGTCAGTCGCATCCTATGAAAGTACAGATTCCCTCAGTTTCCCTGCAGACAGACTGAATTGGGTTGTCTAGGGCTGGGGCCGGAGAGAGCCTGCACTTTTAGCTACCTTACCACCACTTTCCACCTCCCCTATACTCCCAGGACAGATCGTATTTTCCTAAGATGGACACATCTCTACATTTGTTCCATGCCACCTGCTCTTCTTGCAATGTGATTAACATTCCTCTTCCTGAAAGGTGGGGTGTAGTTTCCCTCCCCATCAATCTGGATGAAAACTTGTGGCTTCTCCAGGCAGTGAAGTGCGGTGGAAGTGATTCTAGGTGACTTCTAAGGTTAGCTCAAGAGGATACAGCTTCTGCCTGGTGTTTCCTCCCTCTTTCCCTCAATTTCTCCCTCCCTCCTTCCCATTTCTTATTTTTTAATGTATTATTTTAACTTTTATTGAAGTATTATATATGTGCGTTATATGTAACAGTATTATACACACACACACACACAGAAAATTGCAAATGTCATAAGCATCCATCTTGATAATTTTTCTTTTGTTTTATTTATTTATTTATTTTTTTGAGACAGAGTTTTGCTCTTGTTACCCAGGCCGGAGTGCACTGTTGCATTCTTGGCTCATTGCAACCTCTGCCTCCTGGGTTCAAGTGATTCTCTTGCCTCAGCCTCCCGAGTAACTGGGATTACAGGTGCCTGCCACCATGCCTGGCTAATTTTTTGTATTTTTAGTAGAGATGTGGTTTCTCCATGTTGGCCAGGCTGGTCTCAAACTCCTGACCTCAGGTAATCCACCCACTTTGGCCTCCCAAAGTGCTGGAATTACAGGCATGAGCCACTGCTCCTGGCCCTTGAAAAATTTTCACAACCTCAACTCACTTGTGTAACCAGCACCAAATCAAGAAATACACAAAAAAGCCAGCATTCCAAACTCAACAACAAAAAACCTGATTTGAAAATGAGCAAAGGACTTTTGTAGATGTTTCTCCAAAGAAGATATACAAATGACCAATAAGCATTTGAAAAGATACTCTGTATCACTAATCATTAGGGAAATGCAAATCAAAACTGTAGCAAGATACCACTTCGCACTATTGGTATGGCTACTATTTAAAAAAACACACACAGAAAATAACAAATCTTGTGAGGATGTGGAGAAATTGGAACATTTGTGCACTGTTTGTGGGAATGTGAAATGGCATCGCTGTAGAGGAAAGCAGTATGGTGGTTCCTTAAAACATTAAAAATAGAATTACCATATAATCTAGTAATTATACTTCTGGGTATCTACTCGAAAGAATTGAAAGCAGGGTTTCAAAGAGATATTTGTACACTTTTGTTCATAGCAGTAGCTAAAACATGGAAAAATCCAATTATCCATCAGTGGATGAATGGATAAGCAAAATGTGGTGTATCCATACAATGGGATATTACTCACCCTTAGAAATTCTGTAATATGCTATGCTAAAACTTGAAGATATTATGCTAAGTGAAATAAGCCAGTCACAAAAAAAAAAATATCATATGATTCCACTTATATGGAATCTACGTACTTAGTCAAAATAAAGACAAAAAATAGAATGCTGGTTGTTAGGGACTGAGGGAAGAAGGGAATGAAGAGTTAATGTGGTTGGCACAGAAGCCCGCCATCAGAAGCTCTGGGTTCTGGGACCTGCTCTGCTCAGAATGTTTGAGACTTCAAGACCCTTCTGCAATCTGGACCTAGTTCCCTCAGGGGAATGCAGCCTCCCTCTTGGCTATTCCTCCTTGGGGAACCCACAGGGCTGTATGTTTGACAGGCAGCTGGAAGACCCAGGTGGGCAGTTCAATTGGTCACGGGGACACGCGGCTCAGCCAATCAGAATCTCGCAGCAGTTGATTCCTAGAGACCGAATCCATTAAACTGACAAAGCCCCAGTCCCAGAGTCCCCTGTCTCGGGGAGTTGGGACTTTTAGGTCGCCCTGGGTACTCAGGACTCCAGACTGAGCTGTCTTGGTCACTCGGGGGCAGTTGGTAGAGGATCCGCAGGATCAGGCCACCAAGGGATAAAGGGTGCTCCTGTGCTGGGCCCTGGAGGATAGACCGGTGGGGACTCGGGGTCAGCCGCGGAAGGGGAGTCACCACCTGTCGGGTAAGAGGGGACTCATCACAGGGACCGGGCAGGACGAGTGCCTCCTCCCAGCTCAGGCCGGGTCCCAGGCTGGACCCCTCCCTGTCCTCCAGGGCCGGCCTATTTCAGAGCTGGCTAGGGGCAAGCCTGGGATGGGAAGGAGGAGGAACTCCGGGCACAGGGATTGGGGGCCATCCTGGGGTCTGAGCTGTGGGGTGAGGGGATTGCCTGTCCCCTGGGGAATGAGGATGTCACCCAGCTGTGGCCGATGCTGGGGGTCATGATCTGAACCTTGACAGGTTACCCCAGGGCTGCCTTCCTGTTCTCCTGGGCTGTCAGGGAGACTCCCTGCTGTTTTGTTTTTAAGTGACCAGAGACAGACATGTAACATAGAAAACGCTATCACTTTGATCATTTGTTTCAAATGGAAGAAAAAACGATACAATTGGGTTTCTGGTGGGAAGCGCTTCTCTCCGACTCCAGGAATTCCATTAAGGAGTTAAGAAAGCAGAGTCCTGTCAGCAGACAGAGACATGCTGGGCAGTGGTGACCTGGGAGCCACCCCAGGACATGGAGATCTCCAGCTCTACCCTCCGTGCAGAGAGATTCCTTTCAGAAAAAAATCTCAGGGCAGAGTGGGAGAGTGTAGGGACCAGTCACAAACAGGCTTGCTGCTAGGACCCCTAAGCCATGGGCAGGGTGGGTACAGTGACCAGGGCCAGGAAACTTACAGGCCCACGAAAGAGTGTCAATTTCTTTCAAAGTCAAGAGAAAAAAA